AAATGTACTTGGTATACTATAGTTTTGTGATTGTGAGTGTAACCTCGCCAACGAACCTCTTTCGCAGTTTGGTGAGAAATTGTATTATGTTCTCTTGTATGCCTTGTTTAAATGAAATAAATAAATAAATAAAAATAAATCCAGAAAGTCAATAAAATCACCATTACGTAAGTCAACTCGTCGAGATCAATTTACCGAACCCAACTCTCCTCAACTACTGTTAAGATCTGTAGTTGAGGTGTTGTGTAGTCTGCAGGCTGTCCTGGTTGCAGCATCAGTTTTTTTAAGTATAGGTACCAAGTGACGGGATTGACAAGTCGTGCGTCTGGTGGTAAGCGACACGCCTGACCATAACAGCTGCAATACCACTCAGAGCCTTAAATCACAAAGATCTGAGGGGCACTGCCACTGCGCCCTTCATCCTGAGATATAAGATCACATGTTTCGTGTGCTTGTAATCTCACCAGCAACACCCTTCAAAACCGTAATGCAGTAATGCTCACATTACTGATTGGCGGCAGAAATAGGTAAGATAGCAGTACAGCTGCCAGATGGCAGAGAGAAACTCTGCTGCTACTAAAAAGCAAAGTTTAAGGTTACCATGTCATAAATTTCGAGTCGAACGGATGAGTTGTAGTAAAATAAATATTTATGAGTGAGATTCCTACACTAACTGAGGAAAGAGCTGATCTTTAAATAGCTGAATAGATGTTTACCAAATATAGCTAAGAGCCTTCCATATTAAATTAGCCTTTAGAACTAACCTTTTACTCTCATTTCTAATCTATATAAGTAATACACGACTAATTTAAAAGATGCATGATGCGAATGAAGACATTGTCTTTTGATTTGATCGTGTATTACTTATTTGACAATAATTGTTTCGGACAGAGGACGAGAGTAGACCCGACAGTAGATCTCCAGCAGGTTGATTATGATTGCCTCTCCCGATCGGAAACTGCGCCTTTTCCTAGTCGAGTTGCGATTCACAACTGGCCGATCCGAAACTTTGACATTTTAAATCGAAACAGTAGTTGATTTAACTCACAAATTAGAAAGATATAGTAGGAATCAGGTTCATCTTCTCGCTCAGAAACGCATCTGATTTCGAGACTACCCGATCAGATCTATTCCGATTTGAATTAAAATCATGGCCTAGCCCGCAGATCAGTCCATCAATTTGAGAGCAACAATGCCACAGACAGACACACAAAGAACCCTCTTTTTATCCCCTTTTTTTGGGGACGTCACACGTTTTCCGAGAGTTATGAACCTTCTTCGACGTGCAGGTTTCATCACGATGTTTTCCTTCAACGAAAAGTTCGAGGTAAATTTAAAATTAAATTTCAGAGATTTCGATTTTCGGACCCACGACCTCTGCTTGAGATCCTTGTCAGTAGGTCAAACCATTAACCTCCTAAGGCTTTGTGTACATCAAAATGTACATAATATGTGACGTAATGCAGACCCAGACAATATTTTTACCATAATGACATAAACGCTCATTCAAATTTAGCGTTATTTATTCTACCTATATATGACCTCAGAAGTGTCGAGAAAAATATGTTTAACATACAGAATTGAGGCGGTACTTGCTTGGACTTAAAGTATATGATAACTTTATGTCAATTACATTTGGCACATTTTAACGTACATAAGGCGTTTAGCGCTTTTCCCATTGTAGTTTGCTGGGTTTTAGGAGGTTAATTACCACGGCCGGCTGTTCAGTTAGTTCTTTAGCTTGAATAAAGTAATTGAAAGTATAGATTCCAGACCAGAATATGCTAAGCGGGTGGATGACGTGTTTGCCGCCCTCATACACTTGCCGCTGTCTCTCAGCAAGCATAGAGGGATAGCTGTTGAAATACTGCCAGGTTTCAGGATGGTCTCCGGATATCAGAAATTGCTTCTTCAGCCAGTGGCAAAATTTGTATTTTGGTTCTTTAAGTAGCATGCTTTCAGAATCTGCTGCAAGAAACTTGATACCATTAGCAATTATTGGATGTGAGATTTCGTACGTTGAAAATTATTTGTATGAGTTTACCCAAGTTTACCTAAGTTCAGCGTGCACACATGCTTGTACTTGGTATATCGTTGTTCAATCGTAGGAAATATGCTAAAATTCCTAACCCACTCCATTTACAAGATCGTGTTTTGAATTTCACCAGTATCTTAAAATTAATGCAAGCTAACACTGTTATTTTTGTCCATAGGCTTGGACCTGTGTCAGTTGCGACCTTAGGTTGCGACCTTACACTATGGAAACGAAGGACGTGTTATGTTGACATATATACATTAGACGTTATATGATTATGATGCATCTCGACATTGAAAACATAAACATGTTATTGTCTTTGTCTAATTACTGCGCGCCGTCGTAAGCCAAAAGAGATAGCATTACATTGGTCTGTGCCAAACACTGGAATCGAAAATACATAACGTCATCTTAAATGCCAACTGTGTTCATTTCGCAGTACATGAGGACTTAAACTATGGAAACCTTTTTCCATATTTTAACATTGCGACATCCTTTTTTTTCCACCCCATAAAGGCTAATTCATATTACACCGTGCCGGGGCCCGGTCGTGTTCCGATCATGCGCCGGTCGTGACACGGTCAAATATCTACAGTATGTTTTTATGTGAACTAATTCTTGTTACACCGGTTGGACGTGTCCCGGTCGGGGCACAACATGAATTAGTTCATACAAAAGCATAATATAGATATTGGACCCTGCCACAGCCGGAGCACGGTCCGGCCTCGGCACGGTATAACGTGAATCAAACTTTAGGATTAAAGCAACAATACAAGTTAATTAGGTACACAATTTTTTTCTTGCAAGAAAAACATAATTTTTTTTATTCCATTTTTTTCTTCACTTTTGTACGTTTATTATGGGAATATATATTTTTTTGGCCATTAGACTTGGGAAAAGTGCTTAGAGAATGGAAGGGCCAATGTCAGTTTTGATAGGGAACATCTCTTGTACGATGGAAAGTAATTTAAGGAACACCATAGACTACATAGACTATGCAAACATTTTTGATTCTATAGTCTAAGAAGAAACTACACCAGAGTTTAGAGCTTAGAGGATGGAAAAAAATAAAAGAAAGGAGCTGCCCTAACTACAGAATCAACGTGCATATTATAATTGTAAGTCAATGGCATATAACCAAAAATTTTAAAGTTACAAATGGCGGATTTCTTTAGTATTGTACCATAATCTATCGATAAGTCATTATCGACATGCAAATATATGGCTTGAATGTTGAAACTGTTTTTGTTTTGTTTCTTTAGTTTACTGTAACCAAAGTATGCCTAAACAGACACAAGTCTAATAATTTAATCTCGAGTGGTATATTATTATAAATGTCAACACACATTGTTAAACTTTAAAAAAAATTCTTTTCAGGATTACAACTGGTAACTTATTTAGTAAGTCACTAAACTGCTGTGCAGTTTGTTGGCGACATGCGCATTCTTACTTAATTATACCTACTTTACTGGTATATAACATTACATAGTATTAATTGTACTTACTAAATAAAATATAAAAATTACTTTAAGAG